GCCCACTGAGTGACTTTTTCTGTCTTGATCCTCCGCTGTATTTAATGTAGTAATTGGGAGATATTTCAAAGCCTTATGAATTAAAATTTAGTAACGTAAAATAGTACTATTTACTCTTCTCATTGCTGAGAGAAGCCAGGTAGGAGGGCACGGGTATAGTATGGCTGCCCACATTCCCCACATTGAAGATGATCAACTTCAGTTAAATATTCCTGGAAACACCCCTGCAGACAAGTCCAGAAATTTGTCTTCTACATAATTCTAAATCTTGAGAAGTTGACAGTTGAGATTAACTATTACAGTTAGTAATTTTTTAAACTTTTTAAAAATTTATTCTTAGTGTCTTTCACATCATGCATCTTGGTCCCATTCATTTCCTGTCCCTCTGTTTCCACCCCTCTGCCCTTGAAGCCCACCCCCCACCCCAAATAAAATTTAAGAGAAAAAAGAAAAAAGAAGGGAGGGGAATCTTGTCATGGAAGCGGCCGTGTGACACAGCGAGTCCTGAAGTAAACCCTTTTGTCCATATGTCTTCACTTGCAAGTGTTCACTGCAAAGAGTCACTGGTCTGGTTCCAGGCTTCTGGTTTCTATCACACTATTGATGCTGGGCCCTCACTGGGTCTCTTCTTGGACGTCCTGCTGTTGCCCTGGGTTGTAGAGATCCTGCAGCTTTGGGTCTGCAGGACCAGTCCGCCCTTCATGTGCTTCAGCAGATCACTGATGGGGTGGATATTGGGGTGGGCTGACCCATAACCCTGGTTTCTGGGCCTGGGTAGTAGCAGGCTTGGTCTGCCCACCAGCTCTCCTTTGTCCTCACCACCCAGGATGAACTCTCCTGCATTGCCTTGACAAGTTACACATTTTGCAGCAGTGAGCAGGGGGTGGGGCCAGTTCTGCTTTCACTTCCTCAGGGTTGAATCTCCCACACCTACACCTTCAGGGTCAGCTCTGCTGTGTTGCCCAGGCATGGTGTAGGGGCCACTCTCCTGAGTGCTGCAGCAGATGGGCAGGGACAGCTCTCCCACCTGCCTCAGGCATTGATGGGAAAGGAGGGAGGGACAGCATCTCTCTCCTGCCCGTGCACCCACATGACAGGTGAGTAATGGGGACAGCTCTTCCATGCTCACAGTATCGGGGCTGGCTCACCCACACCGCCAATAGGGTTGGCTCTATTGTGCTGCCCACCTGAGGTACAGGGCCTGCTCTCCTAAGTGTTGTAGCAGGTGGAAGGCATGGCCAGCTTTCCCACCTGCCTCAGGTGTTGATGGGCAGAGGGGGCAGCCCCCCACCACCATCCCCACCCACACTGCCACATAAACATGAGTAACGGGGGCAGTTCTCCCATGCTCACAAGTGCAGGGCTGGCTCACCTCCAGCTCCACCCACAGGGTTGGCTCTATTGGGCTGTCCAGGTGAGGTGCAGGGCCTGCTCTCCGGAGAGTTGCAGCTGGTGGCAGGCAGGGGCAGCTCTTCCACCCTTCTGACCTCAGGGCCAACTCTCCCACCTGCCTCAGGCACTGATGGACAGGGGCCGGAAGGTATGTCTCCCTTACCTATGCTGGCACATGACAGATGAGTAACGGGGACAGCTCGCCCATGCTCACAACCTCAGGGCTGGCTCACCCACACCGCTGCCAACAGGATTGGCTGTGTTGTGCTGCCCACCTGAGGTACAGGGCCTGCACTCCCCGGTATTGCAGCTGATGACGGTGGCGGGCAGGGCAGCTCCCCAACCCCTCTGAGTCAGGACCGGCTCTCCCTCTTAGTAATGTTTTAAAGTCTCATTTTTCTATACTTGAGAACATTACATCATTAAGCTTATATAATTTCAAAACTGAAACATGACTTGACGATTTATTTATTGTATTTCATTGCCTTCATAGAAAGTAGGAAAAGTTACAATCCTGTGTGACTTTGGTCACGTGCTTTGAATATCTGTGAGCGATTCAATGACTCTTCTGCTTGTCTATCATCTCTTCTCACTACAACTCAGTTTATTTCTATACTATTTAAAGGCCATTAAGTTGTGATGCTTCTGCTATGCTGAAAAATGCATCTGAAAATAAGTAACTTTTGAAGGAGGTTATATTCAATAGGATTGCTTGAAGAAAGCCAGACAGTGGGGTCCTGATGTGCATGTAGGGTAGAGAACTATGAGACAAAAAGCACTAAGATGTTTATAAACATGCATATGCTGAGAATATAGTCTCCTTACTTTACTTGTTGCTCTCCCTACTTTGGGTTCATATAGGAAAATTCCTTAGAAGAATAAGCATTTAATTTTTTAAGTTCTTAATGAATATGTACTTCTCATAAAATAAAGTAGACCTTAAAATTAACATTTACTGCTGGGCGGTGGTGGCGCAAGCCTTTAATCCCAGCACTCGGGAGACAGAGCCAGGTGGATCTCTGTGAGTTCGAGGCCAGCCTGGTCTACAGAGCAAGATCCAAGACAGGCACCAAAACTACACAGAAAAACTCTGTCTGGAAACCCTCCCCCCAAAAAAATTAATGTTTACCTAAACTTGACCATACAATTAATAATGGAATATTAGTATATTGTCAGTGAGAAGTAAACTACAAAATAAGGGGGAAAGCACATTATAGTTACTTATAAACTTTATGGCCATGGCAGGCTTCTTTCTATCTAGTTCTTATATCTTAAATTAACCCATGTCTATAAATCTATACCTTGCCACGTGGCTCGTGGCTTACCGGTATCCTTACATCTTGTTTCTCATGGCTGCGGCACCTAACAGCATCTCCTGACTCAGCCTTCCACTTCCCAGATTCTCTCTCTTTGTCCGCCTATACTTCCTGCCTGGCTACTGGCCAATCAGCACTTTATTTATTAACCAGTCAGAGCAACACGTTCACAGCATACAGATATTCACAGCATACAGATATCCACAGCACTGGATCTGCACATTAATGGGTGGTAGCCACTCACTTCTGGGCACAGAGAGGGGGAGCCTCTGACTTCAGTTGTGTGCCCACAAGTGACCCCACCAGGCGGTCCTGATTAAATAAAATGGGTCACAAAACAAAAACAAAATTTTTTTTTGGTGGCCTTGCATCTGGAAAAGAGGTCAGAGAAAATGAGGTTGATACAGGTAGGATGAAAATCGGAGGTGTGGGAGAGAGCCATCAGAATATGTTACGTGCTTGAATGAAACTGTCAATGAACTAACAAATAAGAACCATTCAGTGTGAAAAGTCTCATAGACTGTCAGAGGAAGCAGAATTTAGACTGAAACTTCCCTGCTGAGTAGGAGCTGCACAGAGGGAAAGCTGTGCCAGCCATTGCCCTGGGCAGGAAAAGCTTCCTGTTCCAGAAACTGGCTGAAGGTTGAAATAGAAATGAGAGCTCTGTAGATGTGCAAGCACAGCGGAGTGAGTGTTCCAACTGGGCTTGGGAGTGAGGGGAGACTGGGGTTCAAATGTCGATTCTGCTAGACGGATGAGATTGATTAAATTACCTGCCTCTCTTTGTTTCAATGTCTTTACTCACAAAACAGAGACAGTAAAGGCGGCTATTCACAAAGGTTGTTTGCAGGTTTAGTGAGTTAAGATACACAATTGGTTGTTTTTAGAGATTTTTTTTATTTCAGAACACATGAGATGCCTTTGCAGGATATTAGTGATGTAACTTTTAAAAGAGAACTGTAGCTACTGCTTCTGCTTAACAACATTGATGGAAGGAAGCTGGGTGTTTGTGAGGCAATTTGAATGAGTAGCCTTTTTGAGCAAGGATGTAAAGAGTCCAATCACATAGCCATCTGCACATCACTCTAATTTTACACGGGATAACCAATTGACCAGAGTTTAGCAACAGTCTCTACTGTTAGGGATTAATTTAAATCCTGAAATGATTTCTTTTGATATGTCAACTGTCTTTGTTTCTACGTGATACCTACCCCATGGTGAGGAGACTATAAAGGCTTATCTGTAACTTGAAAAGAAGAAATTTATAATCACTTCATCTGAACAATTTTAGATGAAGTGTCAGACCAGTGTTAGGCCAGTGCTGAAGTTCTCTGTCTAGCTTTTTGCAGCTTTAAGAATTATATTGCTTTCATTCATATTGTCAATTTGTGTCATATAGCTCAGTGGTTGTACTTCCAACACTTCAGTCGACATTTCCTTTGCATGCATATACTGGAATGATTTTATTTAATAAAAAAAGAACATCTCCTGTGTGGATTTTAAATTTCCCTTATTAAATATTTATATTTTCAAAATGTCTTTATTTAATTGAGTGAGGTGCTTGGTGCCATTTCAAAATAACCTCAGGTGGTGGGTGTAATGACATATCAAAGATCTGACCTTTAGCATTTTAGGATTCTATTTGTCTGCGTTTTCTTCTGCATTCATTTAGTCTTAATTTATATGCTCTTTCTCCATATCACTTAATGAGTAGATGTATTTATCACAAGATTCATTAACCATAAAAATATATATCTGAATACATGTCATCTGACTGGTGATTTTACCTTCATTCATATTTCCACTGTGCATCTGTATAAGGCCGATGGGTATTTGCACAAACCTCATTCATTCTCATTAAGTGCTCTGATAGGCCCTGGATCTCCCAAACTGGGGTCCATTCTCTTCTCACGTCTTTGCTGTCAGCTTATTATACTTTTTATTTACCTAGAGATACTTTATTTTCTAGTTCTGTGCTATTCCTTTAAAAGAAAATTGAATGTAATATTTACACTGACATAATTAAATTAACATTTTACAGCATCTTTCTGTGTGCTTTGATAGCACAGATAATCAGTTGTCTGCCTAGCTTTGGGCCTAGTAGCAGAGTTACAGAACAATGATCAATTACAATAATATGTTATTAAAAAAAAAAAAAACCTATTTACACTTCCCCATTTAAGTATTTCTATATTGATTTTTAGAAGTGGGGATTTCAAATGAAAATTTTTTTATTAAAATTGTTGAACTGTCAGCCTACATATTTATATTTGTATTTTTATATTTTCTCAGTTTACACAAATCATTATCTCAAGAAGAAAACTTGAAGGAACAGTTTAACCATGCCCTTAGTACCTATGAAGAAGCCTTAAAAAACAGAGAGAGTGTTGTTTCCATCACTCAGCAGCAGAACGAAGAACTGGCCACCCAACTTGAACATGCTCTGACTCAGCAAGCCAACATGGAATTACAGCTTCAGTGTGCTGTAGAGGTCTCCCAAGCAGCCAATGAAAAAGTTCAGAAGTAAGTGAATAAAAGCATGCAACATTTAAAACAAAAACAAAGGAAAACAACTTTCCTTTGGAAACTAAACAATACCTAGTTTTTGTTCATAATACTGATACTTTAGGGAAAAGTAAACAAAATGAGCTTTTAGGTTATATATCACATCCTTTTTGATATCAAAAAAACTATTTTGGGGGACTTATAGTTACCATGTTATTTGTATATAATAAGTGACCTTGATGAATTCATGGAGACTAGGAATCATCACACACTCCACCTTGAGATGTTATTTGCAAAGACAGTCATATTGCCACCAGCTGCACTCACTGAGCTTCCCTATCATGTTCCTGGAGTTGAGCTCTTCTGGGACCTTGTTCGCTGAGGCCTCTAGCTGCACTAAACCCAGTACAGAGAAATTAATTTTCTTGTGTTGTTCTTTAGAAGTATTCGGTGCAGCCTTCAGTGTGCATAATTATATTTGTTTATTTTGATAGTTCTTTGCATTTTTATTAAAATTTAAACAAATCTGCATAATCAACCAGTCCTTATAACAGTGCACAGAATGTTAACACTTTCCCAAACAAAGACGTCCATTATTAATTTATGGAACTTGAAGCAGCGTTTTCTGAGGAAGCTTTATGGACTAGGGCTTGTCAACCCATCCTTTTGTATGGTGAACAGCATCATATCATAATTCACAAATTTAATCACCTCTTGTTGCCAACAGTTTTTTTTCCCTCATTTTGTTTGTTTTCAATATTAAGTCATATGTACAAGGATTGTTACTTCCTTTTACTTCCTAGTTGAAATAAGTCATCTCAACCATTTCTCCAGCATCTCTGTAACTATATTTAAATTGATAACCCAAACTTAGTTGAATCTGGACAAAGCTATTTTGGAATGGTTTGGGGACTGTACACTTTAAACTTTACTACCAGGGGATCTTAAAGCTTTTGATTAAGTCCTGTGCATTATCTGTTTAAAGATTAGATTCAAAGTCAGTCAGACACTATATATCTAGTTATTTTCAATGTGCATTAACAAGCTAAGAATGTTGTGATATATAAATGGGTAATATATATTATATATTTTATTGTAAATCACAATCAATACCTTGGATGTCATGATATGATTTACTTCTGTTTGTACAGTCTACAAAGAATTATAAATTTAAAAGTTTTTTAATGTATAAGCACTTTACTGCCACATGACTAAAATTCCCTAAAACAATGGTTCCTTGAGATCAGTTAGATTTCAAAAAAATGCTGGAAATACCAATTTTAAAAAAATCTCACCAGCTAACATGTTTTAAAAGAAAGATTGTTTTGAATGCCAGAAAGGAGAAAGATCATCATTCTCAGATAATATATTAAAATGGATAGTGTTATGCACAAACTTATGTCATCTTTATTTTACACATTTAATGGAATGCTACCAGTCTGGGATCATTTTAAGTACAACATGACATTTATAAGAGCTAAATGTTGAAATTACTTCTCAAATCTTTTATTCTGATTTCCAACAAGACCTATTTGAAGTATTATCAGGATTTCTTTTACATATTGTATTTATTTTCTTAGCTACAAATTAGGCAGTGTGTATCTTCATCATGCTTACATGAACATCAGTCTGCATTCTTGGGCATTTTAGGAAAGTTATCCTCTGAAAAGAGAGCGATTAGAACTATGTGGGATGGGCTTAGTATGCTCTGTACAGTTTAATTTCTCACTGAGGCAAATTCTTTGAAAATATGTAAATATGCAGTGTAAAATTTGAATGAAAGAGGTCTCTTCTCCCTTCACAACCAAATTTCTTGAATAGATGACCAATAATTATCTTTCATTTTGCAATACCTGTATATTCCTTTGCTGTTCATTACATTGTTGGCTACTGGCTAAAACTGTTCTCTTTAAGATTAATAGTCATTTCCTAATTCCAAAGCCCATGGCACATATTAACCATATTCTTATTAAACAACTGATGTACAACCATGATAAAAGTATAGATGTGCATTTATGATGATCAATGTAACATAGTGACTTCAGAACTTAGTCTTTGGATTAAAAATGAGTGGGTGTGTACTTGGAGTTCATTTTGAAACTTCATGCTAATGGCCACAGTGACCTGCCTTCCTCAGCAGTGTTGTAGGAACTGGGTGAAATGAGACGTGCAGAGCTGTGAAACAATGCATGTTACGTATTCCGTCCTCTTGTCGTCCCCCTCTGTACTGCAGTCTTTCTCATTCCTCAGAAGGGCTCTGCCTTTTCAAGACCAAATGCCTTTGCAAATGTTGACCTCTCTACTTAGAGCCCTTTGCCTTCCCTGCCAGCCTCCTGAGGAACATTGTACATCCTATGAGAGTCAGTGCAGCACTGAGCATAGAAAAAAAAATGGGCTCAGTGTTAAATCAAATAGTTCTGGAGTTCAAGCCCTACTTTCTTACTAATTGCCTAGGAGATTTGCGGCACATTACTTACCCCATAAGGAAAAGTTCCTAGTTGAGGTTAGACAATAATTCTGGCTTCACGGACTATTTTCTTGTAAAGAATAAATTGTGTAACATAAATACCTAGTGCAGTGCCAGAACTATTAAAAAATTCTAAAATATTACATTATTAATAACATCATATCCATCAATATAATAAGACCAGTTTAATTGCATCTTCTCTACAAAGCTATCATTATCTCCCTAGAAAGGAAAAAATCTCTCTGTTCTTCATATTACAATAGTATTTGGGGTTCTTTTTAAATGTATTAGAAGACCTTCCAGTCTACAATATGCCCAAATATGGGTATTGAGCTATAGATTTTATATGATTATGTTATTGAGTGTCAACTGAATGTTGGGAAAGCCTGTGTTTAAAATCTTAGAAATATATAAATACTAAGGTATATATGATCATATAATATTATTTTAGGACTTACTAAGATTAGTAAGCACTACATTTACAAATACAGCCAATTCTTAGAATATTTGTAGTATTTGAACTCTCCTTATCTTTAATACCATACCATTCCTTCCTGATGCCATTGGGAGGGGGTTATATAATTCCATTTTCATTTTCTGATACTTGTCTACCTGTTTCTACTCCATTTGGGGGGGTTGGTAATATAGTATACCTTTAACCCTAAATAATGGTTTATTTTAAGATTACAGCTATGAAATTCACCAGAAACACATCTATTTCTATAACTTCAACCACTACCACCTCCTCAGTAACTTCCAGATCAGTGTGTCTGTGCTCACCGCCCTCATGAGATCCAGCTCATCTCCCCGGGATACTGTTTCCTCTCCTGCAAATCAAGTCTTCCGCGTTCTCCTTGGCTTTCTGTCTCAGCTTATAGACTTAAGCAGTTCCGGCACTGTCCCTGCTCTTTCCCTCTTTTTACCCTTTACACTCCTTTTGGCACCAGCGTCTACCACCTACATCTCTCCTGATTTTCTCCACCCCACCTTTATTAACTAACCGCATCACTTCGGCTCCTCGTCATTCCTTCACTCAGACCATGGCAATAATCATAGAACTAGCCTTCTTGCCTTGAATACCCTCAAGTTTGCCTTTCTTTCTATTGTCGCAATGAAGTGTTTTAAACACAGGTAAGATAATATTATTTCCCTATTAAGAATTTCTCAGGTATCTTTCACTCCCTACAAGTTAAAGCACAAACAACTTAGCATGACATCTGAAGCCAAATGTGGGCCTTCCTCATTGTTCTAACACTATTTCCTCCTGGGACAGGTGTTTTTAAGCTTTCTCTTTTAGCCGGAGAGATATCTCAGTGGTTAAGAACATTTCTTCTTGCAGAAGGACCTTGGTTCATCTCCCACACACAGCAGCTTTCAACCACCTGTAATTCTAGTCCCAAGATCCCCATCACCCTCTGACCTCTGCTGCACCAGGCACATACATGGTACATAGACATACATGCAGGCAAAACACTCAACACACATAAATAAATCTTAAAAGAGCGGTTTTTTTCTATTTCATCATCATTTCATCATTCTTAATCTGTGCCCTTATTAGCAGACTTTAGTCATTTCAGTGTTATAATAATTTTGAATGTTTTTTCAATCTACTCTCCCCGAAATTTCCCAAGACGCATACAGCATTTTCATATGCCATATCCAAAATCTTGCCCAGATGCAATCCATAAAGCAGGTATTCCACAAGTGCTCACCAACAGAAGAGCCTAACAATGGACTGGAGAGAACAATGGAATAAAATCAATTGCTGGCCAGGTCAGGAGCATATGGAGCAGTTTCATGTGTGCTCTGATTGATTTAGGCCCTAGATAAAAATCTTCTCCCTACCCAGTGCGTTTATAGAAGGGAGGAGACCTTCATTATTAATCACAACTCCCCAAAAAGCTGGGATCTGATGACCAGATCATAATTCTTATGCTAACCAACCATTTCTATCAATTTTAATTACATTTAAGACCTAATATCATCATTAATAGTGAAGAAAGATCATACAGTTTTGTTAATTAAAGAATTTAAATTTTATATTTTATTTTCTTTCAGTTATAAAAATGTTTAATATTTTCTAAAATTTATAAAGTTTAAAAGTATTTCTGGAAAGAAAATTATATAGAATTACCATGCTTGATATGACCTATAAATACTTATTTTTTAAAAAGTCCATGAATGTTAGACCTCATTGTCCAAAAATAGTTCCTGGCCTAGTTGTCATAAAATCTAAAATTTCAAAGCAGGTAGATGGTTCAGTGGTTAAGAGCACTGGCTGCTCTTCCAGAGGACCTGAGTTCAGATCCAGCTCCCATGTCAGGCAGCTCACAACCACCTGTCACTTAGCACCATGAGATCTGACACTCTCTTCTGAAGTTTGCAGACACCTGAACGGGTATGTCATACACATGGCACAGAGATATACACATATACACATAAATAAACATAAATAAGTTTTAAAATACAAAAATCCAGAACTGAAAAGCCATTTCTTTGGGTGAAGCCCGCTATATTTCTGTGGATTTTTGCTGAATATATATGCTTCTGT